TATAAAAATTTTCAGAAAACAAAAGATACAAGATTTCGAAAATTCAATAATTAAAAAAATCTTCAACCACATTGTAGAAATCTTAAACATTTTTTTAATAATTGTAATCTTTATTTTTTCTATATTTTGACTTTATTCATTTCATTTGGAAAAATTTAGTATTAGGTATTTGAATTATCACAAAAGTAACCTTAAAATTTTAGGATTTGTTAATTTTTTTTTCAAAATTTGAAAACACCAGAAGAAAAATCTAAGCTTTCTCTTTCAAATGCCACAAAACAAATTCAAAATTTAAAAAAATAGCAGAGTTAACGATTGTTAAAGTGGAAGGTGTAGATCCAAAAATTTTGGATAAACTCCAAATATTTCAAAAACGGCTAAATTTAGGTATAGGGAAAGCTAATGAAAACTTCCTTAGAATAACCCAATTAATCCAAAAACGCAGTAAAAAATATAGCTTTCCATTTAAAATAAGAAAGTTGAAACCGACTTCCGGCATAACCGGAAGTGCCGCCATCTTGAAAATATTTTCATTTAGGAGGATTTAATGGATTATGGCTATGTACTAGTTTCCAAATAAATATGATCATTTGAACTCCCAAAACTTTTAATGTGGGGGTTTAGACGGAACACCCTGTATGAAACTCGAGATTTGGCCTGGAAAAAACTACTCACTTCTCTGGAATGGTGCTGACGTAGGGCATGACCACCTTATCGACGAAACTACCAAAACCTAGCATAAACTTCGAGGTCATATTCCTCATGGTCTGGGCCAGATGGTCCCCCAAAGCCGACAACTTCTCCTTATCGTCCTCCATGGACTTACTCAAGTCCATCAAGTAGTACAAATCGACTGGATAATCCTCTGCTTGGGTGTAGTACATGTTGACACTGTACGTCTGTCCTGAAAGTACCCCAATTTGGGGTTAAATCGCATCAGGTGACCCCAAAACTCACTCGCTCGCAGTTTAAGTTTGATTCTTTGGGGTCTGACTTGGGTGATTGTGCCGCCGCTCTCCCACGCGCCGCCCCCCTGATTGGTGCCGCCGCCGCCGCCGCCGTGGAACCCGCCGCTGTGTTCTTCCTCCGTGACGAGGGTGCCACCCTCGGCTTCGGTACGGGAGGAAAGGGCGCGGTTGGATACAATAATCATTTCGTTATCGGGGTTGTAGATTTTCGAGGGGTCGCATTTGTCGAGAGGGGGCAGGGGGTAGCTGGGTTGGAAGCATCGTTTGGTGGTGTTTATATTTACCTGAGTTTGAAGGTTTTTTGTCATTAAAATAAAATGTGAAAAAACAATAAAAATTAATGAGATATACAGGGTGGAGCAAAAACCGTTAACTATAAAATTTCCAATACGAACAATTTTGTCAAAAATTTGAGAAATTTATTATCTACATAGTTTTACCTACATTAATTAAATAAACATCAATTTCTTGATTTTCTTAAAAAGTCATTAAAATTCTGCAAACAATTTAATTAAAATCAGAATTAAAATTTGTAAAAATCCTAAATACCTAGAAATTATAAAAAATATAATTTTTCATAGGTAGGTATAATTTTTAGAATCTCAAATTCTAACGGGACACTTTTCTTTTATTTTTTGACTAAATTTGGTAAAAAACTAAACCCGACAAAAAAGAAAATAGTAGCAAAAAAAGAAAACTCTTAAAAATGGTGAGATTTCAAAAATCCTACATGTTGTAAAGAAATTATAAAACTTCGTAATCCTTAAAAAAATTCCAAAAATAATTAAAAAAAAAATCTTTAAACTGAAAAATATGTATTAAAGAAATTAAATAATCTTGAGATGAGTTATATATTATTTAATATCTTCATTAAGATTTACTAGGTTTTAAGATTATAAAAATGAAAATACCAAAATTTAAAAAATTGTAAACATTGTAAGAAAAATAGTCGAACAAATCTTAAAAATCTGTAATTCTAAGAATTTTGAAAATTCTTATGAAAAATGCCTAAAGTTCTATGTACAATTCTAGCAAGCTGTAAATATTGTAATTTTGAGAAGTGAGAATCTTAAAGATTATTACAAATTTGTAAGTCTTCAGAAAAGAATGAATTCTAAAAATGTAATTACCAAAAGAAAATATCTTCAAAAAGTAAAAAAGTAGACATAGTACCTAACAATTTTCTTGACTTTAGAAAACTAAAAGATCTTTGATTTTTATATCAATTGCTACAATTTTAAAGAAACATCTTGAGAATTTATCAATCATAATTCTTGAATGTGCTTTAACTCAATAATTACGACAAACATCTTGAATATGTCAGAAATACAATAAAATTTTAAAAATTTGTAGGACATTACAGATCACAAAATTTCAAAAATGCGATAATGATGACTTGATGAGAAATGAAAATCTTAACTTTGTTAAAGTTTTCAGGGTAGAATAAATTCCAAAAATGTAATAACAAAAAAAATTCTTTAAAAAGTAAAAAAAGTTGCAAAATTTTCTTGGTTTTGGGAAACTAAAGATCTTTGAATACTTTAAAAATTGCTTGAAACTTAAAGAAACATCTTGAGAAATTGTCATAATTCTATAGAATTTTTTAACTCAATAATTAAGACATGAATATATCAGAAATTCAACTAAATTTTAAAAATTTGAAGGACATTAAAGATCACAAAATTTCAAAAATTCAATAATTTTGAGAAATGAAAATCTTAGATTATTTCCAGGGTAAAATAAATTCTAAGAATGTAATAACCAAAATAAATATCTTTAAAAAGTGGAAAAAGGAGCAACAATTGTAAGGGTTTTGGGAAAGTAAATATCTTTAAATATTTTTAAAACTGCTACGATTTCAAAGAAACATCTTGAGAATTTGGCATAATTCTAGAATTTGTTTTAACTCTGTTGAGTTAAAAAAAATGAATTTTTGAAATTGTCTTTAGTTACTAAATTAAAACTAAATTAAAAAATTTGAAGGACATTAAAGATCACAAAATTTCAAAAATTCAATAATTTTGAGAAATGAAAATCTTAGAGATTATTATAAATTTGTAAAAGTTTTCAGGGTAAAATACATTCTAAAAATTTATAATAATTTTGAGAAATGAAAATGTTGGAGATTATTATAAATTTGTAAAAGTTTTCAGGGTAAAATAAATTCCAAAAATGTAATAACCAAAACTAAAAAACTAAAGATCTTTAAATATTTTAAAAGCTGCTACGATTTTAAAGAAAAATCTTAAAAATTTGTCTAGAATT